TGCTCAAGACAAAGAACTGAAGTCGACAACAACATCAGACTGACCCACTTCACATCTGGATCATTAATGCACAACCAGTGAAACTGCAGTGTCTGATATTCAGCAAATTAACTCTTTAAAAGTGCATTTATGCACCTATGTGTGTGAACACTGTACATGTGTACGGCTGAATCAGACATAATGTAAATGGCACCAAAACCTGTCATGCATTTATGTAACACAAGATTAAGGTGATCAAGATGGTCAACCAGTTACCAAAACACATATACCAGCCTAATCTGGATTTCCCAACAGATAAACACTGCTTTAGAGCATTATATAAGGTTTTTATTCATGCTTTGGCAATACGAGCCAATAAAGTTTGAAGTGAACGCTGCATGTGGTCGCGATGATGACACACAACGCACACTAGTGATGCCCGAACGAACCGAGTCTTTCGAGTCGGTTCTGTTGAAAGATTCGGATCGTTTGTAAATCACCCGAGAATAGGCAAAGACATAACTTAATTTGGCAGTAAAATCGAAAACTTAAACGAAAACGTGCCATATTTGACAAAAACAATGTTTGGTGCTAAACACGTTACGCGATTCGGATCTTTTGAGCGGCGTCGGTGAGCTAACCGATTCATTAAAACGAATCTTTCCTCCTCGTATACCACACATAGCACCTCATTCGGGGAAAAAAACAACTGTATAAGATGTTCATGCGTTAAAGCACGAGAAAAGCATGCAATCCTTTTGAAATGTGCTATTATTTTAAATGCATTTAATGAACGCGTTGTTGAACAGAGAAGCGATGATGCGTTGTGCTTTCTTGAAGTCTCGGGTTTCACAAAGCGAGTCTTCCAGTGTCTGCTGCCCTTCCCCCTGCATGCACAAAACTGCACTCAAATGTACACTTCATTCGCACCAATACGGGATGCATTTGCCTTATGCATTGAGTATGCACTATATTATATTTACTTGTAACAACTCAAGTATTTTTTTTTATCCTACTGCTAAATAGTTGGCATGCCATCCCAGCAGTACTCTGGAGTGCACACTGTTTAGCAAGCATGCAAATCGCATTTTGGTGCGATAGTTTGCCTTGTGTTTGCCATACAGATGTGACACCCCTTCCCCCTCGAATGCATCAATCTCAGAGCAGCACGAAACCAAGTGATCACAAATAAGTGATATTTTTGAATGCCTTCAATGAAAACAAACAGCAGTCGCGTGTAATATGTAATGCTCACATCGTGTAGCATGCATTCGGGATGCTTTAGAATGCATTATGCAAGTTATTTCACATGCATGCATAATTCAACCCACACCTGTCATCCACTCCTGAATGGGGCCACGCAGTGTTGGTTTACATCGTAAATGCATCAGCCAAAGAAGATAAATGCAAAAAATTGAATATGCATATATGAACACTTTTTCCCATGCATATTTGCATTATGCGTTTTTCAAATAATTTTAACTGCAAATAGTAAAACGCAGTAAAGAACAGTGCATACCTTAAAGCAAGCATGCATAAAACATCATACCTGAATAAATGTTATGTATTCGTATTATTCCATGTTTTCCCGAGGTTATTCCTTAAAATATTCCTGTCGGTTCGGTCGCGCGGTGTTCATTGCAGAAATACAGTACTGATATACAGCGAGTGTGAATCCCGGGAGCTCGGGACTCGAGGACCGTCAATGCTGGAAAAGAGATCCACAGTAAAAATACAGCAGATGTGCGTCAGTAACTATCCGCCTAATTTCGCGGCACAGCAGCCGGTAATACCAGTAATCGCAGAATAAACCCTTATAAACCAAGCATGTGCTCCATTTGTGGGAAGAAGCGATATTCTGGATGTCGGTGCGTGTGGCGCCACCCCTCCGGCTGCAGATGGTACGGCCCGCTTTCTATTGTTGGAGCCACACACAACTGAACTCGCTGCAACAAACCGCCGCCCCGCCCACAGCGGGAACCCTCAGCTGATTGGCTGATACCGCGCACAGACCACACCCATTCGTCCAATCAGAGTAATCGCAAATACAAACAACTTGCGCCGGTGTTGTTTAGGTCAAACCACGCCCACACCTGACAGAATACAGAATTGCATAATACTTTTACTTTTTATGGAGAATACAGAATGTGTAGTGTTTGCTTGTTAGTGCACATTAGGAGTGAAATTATCGATGCTTATTTATTATTTTATAATTCCTGTGCTGCCGATGATGGCAAATGTAGTTTGGTTTTACACATCTACCTCTCACAAAACGCATCTCATATATACTTTTATATGTACACACTGCTGTTCAAAAGTTTGGGATCAGTAGATGTGTTTTAAAGAAATATCTTATGCTTATAAAGGCTGAATTTATTTGATCAGAAATACAGAAAAACAGTAAAATATTATTACAATTTAAAACAGCTGTTTTCTGTGTGAATATGTGTTAAACTGTAATGTATTTCTGTGATCAGCATCATTACTCCAGTCTTCAGTGTCACATGATCTTCAGAAATCATTCTAATATGCTGATTTATTATCAGAGCTGGAAACTGTTGCTGCTTCATATTTTTTTGGGAACATGTGATACTTTTTCAGAATTCTTCGATGAATAAAAAGTTAAAAAGAACAGCGTTTATTTAAAATGGAAATCTTTTCTAACGATGTAAGTCTTTATTATCACTTTTTATCAATTTAACACATCCTTGCTGAATAAAAACATACATTTTTCCACAAAAAAAAAAAATTACTGACCCCAAACTTTTGAATGGTAGTGTATATTGTTACAAAAGTCTTTGTTTTTGTTCCTGTATTTTTGATCAAATAAATGCAGCTTTGATGAGCAGAAGAAACGTCTTTAAAAAAAACATTTAAAAAAATATATCACTGAGTTACTATTAAAGAGTTATTAATATTTTTTATTTTAATTTTGTGTTAAAGTTTTAGTGATTTTGTTTTGTAATTTTTATAAGTTATTTAAATTTCCTGTGCAAAACTTTTTTAGTTTTCATTGAAGTTTTAGTTATTTTAGTACATCAAGGTAAGGTAAAAAATCTGAAAAGGTATTTTTTGTTTTAATTCTATTTCAAGTAACAAAAATTGTGTTTACAGTTTTAGTTAAAGGTCCCATATTGTCAAAACTGAAATTTCCTGGCTTTTTTCATGATAACTGAGGTCTAGGTGATATGTAACTACCATATAAGTTTCAAAACAGTCAGTCCACAGTAAAATGCACACAGCCTGCATAAAGTTCTAGCTATTTTTCACGAACCGTTGTGACTTCCGTAAAGAGTTGACGTCAGAACTACACAGTCACCGCCTTCAGTGTTTTATTTACCAGTGATTTTGTTAATTTAACAAAAAAAAAATTCGTACAATATGCATTGAATTGGATGAATAACCTTTGTTAGCGAGTAATTGTGTAGGATAGAACTACTTTCCTGCTCATCTGGACAGCAAATGTTGCAAGACAGAACTAATCCATCACAGAGAGCATTCACTCACTGCTGACAGTGCATTCAAACGGGGCTGGCGTTTCCCAAAAGTATCATAAGAAAGCATTAAAGCTTTTGGGAAGGGCAGCCCTGAACAATGCTTATCAGAGGACAGAAGGACAGAGTTATTTCACAATAAACAAACTGAAATTGTAGCCTACATAGTTTGTGCAATTACAGTTATTTAAATTGAACGTAGAAAGATAATATTGGTCATGTTCTATTCTGTAATGTTAATAGAAATCATACACTGTCAGAATAAAAAGGTTGCATTTTATGCATGCAACAG